GTGAGGGTTTGGGAGCTGAAGGTCGCTCGATCTTTGGCCCGCGATAGATCGGCGTTCAGTAAGGCTGCGTCGAACTCTTCCTGAGAATTTGCGGCGATGGTTGCAGTGTGGTGGTCCTCTGCTGGCTCGATTTCTCATCGATAAATCGCTGGAGTTCTTAAGAGCCAGGAGTCCTGGAAATATCATCGCCCCACAGGTAGGGAATGACACAGCGGCGTCGCCTTCCTCCTTCGCTGCGCTCTCACTGGCTTGCAATACGGTTGGTGCAGCAGGCTCAGGCTCTTCTTCCGGTAGATCGGTGTCGAAACGCGGCGCCGACCGGTAGTCGTCAGGGTGCCATCGTCGATGATCTCCTCGCTTGGCTCTTGCAGTTTTCCGCCCCTGAGGTCTGACTGACTGGATTTTCGCCTGCTCATGCGAGGGAGCGACATGGCTCTTGTGCCGCTAGAGCGGCAGGTGGCGCCTGATCATCTCTGGAGATGATGATGCATCCGTATCGCCGGATGGTGGGTAGTATTGAGGTACAGGGTCGGGAACATCCAACGGTGCTCGGTCACCGTGGTGTCCGGTTCGACTTCAGACGACGCACCCACTAGAGCGGGGTCCTGTTGGTCGATATCCATCGGAGTCACAGGATAATTCTCTGTCGACTCCACACGTTCAGTCCTGGCAAATCAATTACTTTGCGAACGCTGAGGCACGAGGCATAGTCAGTGTCGGAATTAGCGAAGAACGGAGATGCGAATTGTAGGCGCGAATGCTGGGAGCAAAATGGCTGCTGTATATATGCAGACACAAATTTTCTTGAGACAAGAAAACGGTCAGAAACAAGCATACAATCAAACTGTGTGCCAAACCGCTAGTGCGGAAACGCTTAGGAATTTACCGGCCATAAAACACTGAGCTATGTCGTCAACGAAAAAGCTCACAATACAAAGGTGTATCGCCCATTCCGCGGCAAAAGCCTTGTGCTTGACAAGTGTTCGGAACAGTGCATGCGTATCCACTGCCTCTAGTATGCCGGTTTCGATCGACTTTAACAGTTGATCGGGCTTCGCGCTATGTTTGGTCAGTGGATCGTTCCTTATGTTGCATTACATTACATTACGTTAAACCATGACATACATGACGCGCATTAGTATGTTCATACGTCCATACATCCATACATCCATCCATCATCCATCCATCCACCCATCCATCCTTACATTCATGCATACATACAGACAAGCATACATACATACATCCACCCATCCATCCATCCATCCATCCATCCATACATACATACATACATACACACACACATACACACATACACACATACATACATACATACATACATACATACATACATACATACACACACACATACATTATATACATCCATCCATGCCTCATAAAGTGCAGCTGACCTCTTCCAGGGTCAGGACTTCGCTTTGCCCGTGATCGAGGGTTTCAAGATCACCGGCGTCCTGCGCTTTGTGACCGCTACCTCTACTCCCAGGACACCGTGTCTCCTTTTGCTCTGGCAAATGTGTAGTCTGGGCCGTTGTGACGAGGTTATTTGCCTCTAGGAACATGCGCGCGCCAAAACACTTCATAAGAGCCTGCAGTTCTGCCACTGTTTTTGATTGCGTGGTAGTGGTGATCTTGTGGCCTTCATAGTCTACAACTGAGCCTCTAGTAAGGTTCTTCGGCTTGTAGTCGCTCTTCTGCATGTTTGGAGACACGCGGTCTTCAGCGATAAAGATAACATGTGCTCTCTGGCTACTCTTGTCAGCATTATTTCTATAGGATGCATCGGGGTCCCTTCGGTGGCCAGAATCAACATATTGACGCTTGAGTGTTCTCACTACCTTGTTGAGTTGTTGACAATCACCGACAGTCGGTTTGGCAGCGCACGAAGCACAGTGAGAGAACTTACAACAAAGGTGTTTTCTTGAACTTTTGCATCTGCCTTTGAATGATTGTGAAACGGCTGCTGTTTTTCACTTGCGTAGTAAAGGTGGCTGTGACATGCTCAGTGATGTTTCAATCATGCAGACTTGACTGCAGACTTTGCCAGAGTTCTGTATTGCGCCTAGCGAAGCTGCGCGCGCGGCCAGTTACCAAACACATGTCTTACCAGTATACGGCTGCGACAGAACAAGGACCCATACGCCTCCTCAGCACAGGGCCCTATATGTCGCCTTAACCGCTGCTGGTGTGTTCTACCCTGTAACCAGTTAAGCTGACCAAGAACACTACGGTAGGCCGTGTGCATCTTAGGATCACAGGCTAGATTATATCCTTAAGACGCTTCTCGATCTTTATCTGTTCACTAGCATCTACTGCTAGCTTCTGGCCTTCACTGATATACGATCCATGCTTGTCATGGGTCTTCCACTTGATACGTTGTCCTACGAACGTGATGTCATCCTTATCCTCGGATCCTACAGAGAAGTCCTTCCTTATATTGGCAAGTATCTTGGATTCAAAGCGCTTGTCTCCTGCCATATATGAGTCATCAACATGCAAGCAAACAGGACCGTGGACTTCTCGTCCATGTTCCAGGCTTCTTGAGTCGAGCTGCCATGTATGGAGGATATCCTAGTTCTGACGTAATCTGGCAAATGACGTCACGAGACTCATCGCATGCCCCTCCTTGCAGGAACGCTGGTTACACAGCGAAAACCAGATCTAAATCTGTTTGTTGTCTGCTTGTCTTCAAATGTGCCTTGCACTTCAAGAATTTACAAGCCTTGTCGCGCTTCAGGGTTAAAGCTCATCTTCCGGATATAAGGTTGCAAACTTGCAGTTTTCTGGTATCGACAAGGTCATAGACGTCGTTATCTATCCACGATTGAGTTTCTGCCATCTTGGCTTCCAGAAACTCTGGCTCCCTTACACTTCTTTCCTACCAAGTAGGCAAACTTATCATCTGTGGACTGAGACAGTGGCAAAATGTGCCTTGTCTTCCTTACTTAATCCGGAATTTGCTTCTTCAATGTGAGGTCTGTTCTGTGCGCGCGACCGATGCGATAGCCGATAGTTCGCATGGATACCCACGCGTCGACCATCGCCTGCGTAGACAAATGTTGATTCAACTGTGCGGACATTATCGGGCGCGGAGTCAATATATCTGGGCGCTGAGAGTGATGCTGTGTTTGCGCCAAGCTTGTGTTCAGCAGTAAGGTGTGACCATTGTGCCTCGTCTTTGTACAGTGCATCAGGATCAAACGTGTCTGAGTCTGTCTCGTTTTTCTTCTTCTTCTTCTTCTTCTTCTTCTTCTTCACCGATGACGTATTCTTCTTCATCAACTGGTTTCGGATTGAGCGTCGGCTCACCGGGTATCGTTTCAGCATCACTATCTTCAGTCGGAATTGGCAATTACATTGTACCAGTAGTCAGTTGTAACGCTGGGTTTGACGGTGACGAAGTCGAAGAAACATGCAAATCGCGCGAAACATCGCCCCCCCAGATGGTTGCTAGGAGGCTGACTAGAGGACGACCCAGGTTTGGAGACAAACTTCGGAATAAAATGCAACATTGGATTTATGGCCTTGGGTTTGAGGTTCGGGGTTGAGATGGCGTATGGACGGTGGACTCAGGTGGTTGTGACTGATGTCGCTTCTGTGGTACCGTACCGTAGGTGAGGCAGGTTACAAAAGGTGTAGATGGAGGATGAGGTGGGGTTTCAGGTGACTCCATGTCCTGGTCTAATGCCGGTGGCTGAAATGTCAAAAGTCTGGGGGCCAGTAGGTGGTGTCGGTTGTATTGGTTCCAATGCCGGTAAGTCGGCGTCATCGTCCTCACCCGGAGGATCGTTCATCTGATCATCTGTATCAGCATCTTCATTTGGATTGGGTGCTAGGCCAGGATATGTAGGCTGCGTCGGTGGATCTTTGATCCATTGCGTCTGGATTAGGTGGCTGTGCTTGTGGTCTCTGAGGCATCTTGCCGCTATCATTCCAGTAAAATATTGTCATCCAGTGCTGTGGATTGAGCTTACCGAAAGCTACCCGTTGGTGATCCATCACATAGATCTTGGAGAAGTTGTTCTTGTTCCACATGAGAACTACACCAGGTTTGTTCTTGTACATGGTTCTGAGACGACCACATGTACCCTTCATGACGGAAGTCCGTGTTTGCGAGGCGTCAACGTGGTCAGGTTTAGCCAGTCTTCAATGCAATCTTCGTATGTTCGAACCAGGATATTAAACCATCGAGCGTCAGGGCGATTCTGGAGTCATCCTGAGTTGCGATATCCCTGGCACCTGAGCAGTGTATTCATCCGGCCTACGATGCCCTGCCGCTAGGGCGGCGTCTGGGCTGCGCTTGGTAATATATGTAGCGCTACCATCTGGAAAGTAATCTGATTCATGGCCTTCTTCTGTGCTATCGCTATCGCTCATTGTGTGTCGGCTGTGGCGGCTCTGCTTGAACAAGGTGCGCCGAAGCATACCTGTTAGTTCGGGTTTCTGGAGCAAACACTGCTCCGCTACCGCTTTGAGGGTGGATTCCCTCGCAGTGGGGCGTGGTTAACAGTAATCGACCTGGATCAACTCACAGCGTGACAAGTTCACAAGAGCGCGCGAGCGAAGGCGAGCAAAGCGGCTTTTCTATCGCGCAATAGGTACCTTGAGCCAAATGTTATGGTGTTGAATGCATTGCGTAAGAGCATCATATAACAGGAACCATGTTGAAGCAACCGCGTAAACAGGGGCCCAAAAACAAGAAACAGGGGGGCCTCCCCCCACCAAACGGACATGAGATCACAAACATCATCCGCGAGGGATTTTCAGGTGTTCTCACATTCGTCGTTGTTATTGCTTTCGTTCACCGCCTCTCAAGTATATATATATATATTATGTATGGCCGCTCCTTTGTATCAAAGGGGGGCACCAAGACATGCTGTGGAGGAGTTAGATGGCTTTCAGCATGGTGAATTAGTGGGCGTTGACTCTTCGAGGCTGTAGAAATAAGAGTCTTGCGTATTGAAAGTGCCATGAACTTTGCCAAGGTCCTGCTCATGGTGACTTGCGGAACGAGCCTTTGATGGATCGAGGCAAATGTTCTGATGCCATCCCTTTTGCAAGGACAGATAGACAAACTAGTAAGAAGCAGCTCGTTGAAAACGATCGATTTGTCACGACATCGTTTAAGAGACGTCAGGATCGGGTGGCAATTCTTGAATCTTGAATGTGTAACATTTGGGCTTAAGGGTAGGGTGGGTGGGCACCTTTTTCTTGTCGGCCGAAATTTGAGCCATGGGGGTTGTGGTCTGTTGATGACACCAGGAGAAGCGGATTCGATCGTTATTGACGATGAACTAGCTGAGCTTTTTGGTGACGCTCCTTTCCTGTCAGGTTGGAATTTTGAGCAGGAGACCCATTCACCTCATGGCTCACGAGCAGGCACAGATCCTTCGGCTGGAGAAGAGCTTCAAGAAAATCAGGACGATGAGGTATCACAAAGTTTTCTTCCCGATAGTGCCTTGAACAGTGCAGTTGTTCCTCAACCCTTTTGGAACGGTATGATTGCAGCTTCATACAGTCGATACAGAGCCACTGATGCTTCACTTCAGCTCCCATGGGAGGTTGGGGCTTGTGCTGACATCTTTCAGGTTGACCGCAGTCCAAGGCTTCCGAATATTCAACCTTTTTGCCAACCTGTTCCTTCAGGTGTGACTTCCGAGGCTGCAATCGAGCATGATCGTGTTTCTTTCGCATTACATACTGGTGTCTGTTACATTCATGCTGTTTCTGACACACGTGACCTGACCTGGATTATTTTGAAGAGAAACGCGAAAAGCTGGAGCTGGCTTGTGGGAAGTGGATGGACATGCTTTCCACTCATTGGGAAGCTTCAGATGTGGGCTTGCTTGTACGTCAAGGCCTCCGTGAGGATCCCAGTGGCCAGGAGGCAGTGGAGACCTTAAAGGCTTGTTTTGGAACTAAAAGTCCCAGCACTCTTTTGAAGCGAGCCTCAACCCTTCGCAAGTTCTTGACTTGGCATTTCAATGAATTTGAGAGCAGAGCTGTTCACGTCCATCCATTGCCATTGGTTGAGTCAGATGTTTGGCTGTTCTTCAGATTTCTTCGAGAGGAGCGTGAGGCCAAGCAGAGAGGTTTCACGACTGCTGCAACTTTTCTGGAAACTGTCAGGTTCTGCAAGTTCACCATAGGTCTTCATGGATGTGACGAGATATTGCAGTCAGGCCGCCTCTTTGGTTTCGCTGCGATTGAGAAGAGGGAGAAGGGACCGATGGTTCAGGCTCCTATTCTAGAGATGTGTCACTTGATGCGATTGCGCGAGATTTTATCACTTGGAACTGACCCCATTGATCGTTTGGGCGCTGGTACCATGTTGCTATGTGTGTATGGTCGGGCAAGGTGGTCTGATCTTCGGTTTGTGCACCATGTTGAAGTTGAAGGCAAAAGGAATGGAGCTCTGGTGCTTTACACTCGTGAACACAAGACATCTGCGGTTGGCTTGAGGCGTGAACAGTATCTCCCACTAGTTGTTCCGTGGGAGGGCGTCGTGAGCGAAGATTGGATTTCCACTCTTTTGCAAGTGTACGCATTGGTTGGATTGAACATTTACCAAGTGCCTTTAGGACCTTTCCTTCCAGCTCCAAAAGCAGGTGGCGGCTTTTGTGCTCGACCTCTGAGCACTCAGGAGGCTGCAAAATGGCTTAGACTCCTTCTGGCTGGGACCCAGGACTCACAAAAGGTTCGATGTCACTCTTTAAAAGCGACATTGTTAAACTGGAGCGCAAGAGCTGGTCTCGACAAAGAAGTGAGAGCTGTTCTGGGTCATCATAGCACGGCCTTACACGGAAGCGATATTGTCTACTCGCGGGAGCTCCAGGTTCGACCCCTTCGTAAGCTTCAGATGCTTTTGAAGAGTGTTCGAATTGGTTTGACGCTGGAAGAGGTGGCTGCCCAAGGTACACTTGTGGCAACCACTCCGAGACCAGGAACTCCGAGGCCTAATGTTTTCACTCCTCCTCCACGAGTCCCGGCTCTCCAGCAGCCGGACGTGCATGCATCGGATGTCGGAGCCCTGGACCAAGCAGTTGAAACAGTGAATGTTGTGGAAGATTTAGAAAGTGCAAAAGAGGAGCAAGAAGACTTTGAACACCTCGAACGCTTTGCGTGTGATATCAGCCTGTTCGGAGAAGAGGCTGTGAAGGAAGGAGCTGTTCAGATTGATAGTTCGAGTGAGAGTGATGAGAGCTCACAAAGTGAGAGTTCCTCGTCAGAGTCTTTGCAATCCAAACGGGATCCAGTTTGTTTCACTGAATTTGTGCCTGAAGGAGTTCACTTTTACAAGCATGTGAAAACTTCACGTGTACATCGCGTCCATCAAGGCAAGGGGTGCACTGATTGTGGGCGTAAGTTGAGTAGCAATTTCAAGAAGCTTGATTCTGAGATTCGTGTACGACTTTCCAAGTGTTTGAATTGTTTTCCGCGAGCGGAGGGGAGGATTCGTTCACGCGCTGATGCCGTAGAGCATCTCGACGCCGCCTTAAAGAGGATTAGGCGCTGAGTGAGTTGCCGGAGTGGTCAAAAACTTTAGTTGGGCGCAGTGTCAAGATCCGTGTTGGTCACCCTTTCTGTCCGCGCCGCGCGCGCGCGCCGTAGAGGGCTCCTAAAACAGCCTCCGTTGGCGCGCGCGCGCGCGGCGCGGAGGCTTGTCTTGTTTGTGTGTTCTTGGGTAGTAAAATCGGTGGCCTCACGGAATCTTTTAGGGCGCAGTGCCTGGGTTTTGCTTAAGAGCGCACAGTTGTTTCCAGAAGGTTATGCTTAAGAGCACACAGTTGTTTCCAGAAAGCTGGTGAGTGCGTGTTTCATGGAAAGCCATGCACGCGATCGAACGAAGCTCAAAGGAGCATTTCACGAAGCATGTGTTCATGGCCGGCAATTTCTTTTCATGCTTTATTTGTCAGCTTATTTTTGCATCTAACCGAATGTAATTCCGAACTTTTGTTTTGTGAGTTTGCAACCCGCGGAGATGTCGAGCATTGTGGATAGCGAGGCTCATTTTGAGTCACGATTGACGGAGTTAGGTCTGTCTGATGCTGTGAAGACAGCCTTGAAGAATGGCGGAGTGCGCACACTTTCTCATTTAGCTTTTGCCATTACGCAGCCAAACCAAACCATCACCCACGATGAAGTGACAAATTTCTTGCAAGGACTTACGGGCAGTGCTCCATCTTTGCAGGAGAGTAGCTGCATTAAACGGCTCGTCTTTGAAGCCCAAACATACGTTGTGGCAGTGTTGAGGCAGGGTCTTGAGCATCATGAAGAGGGAGCGCCGAGGAAGGTGGCGCACGCTGAGCGTACCACCAGAATGGCAGCCTTGCAGGCTGCCCTCACAGGCATTTACATCACAGGAGAGATGGATCCTGCACATGTCCTACTCGACAAGGCCTCTGCAATGCGCGATCAAAACATTGTGCGCTACTTGGAACCAGCAGCTTGCGTCAGTCGTGCAGTAGAGGTGCAAGGAAGGAAAGAGAGTCGTGAATTGAGTTTGGAAAAAGGTTCTCTCATTTTGAAGAATGCCAACGAGAAACTCTCTTCACCTACAGACACGGAGTTGAAATTGCACTATGCAATGCAGCGGAGAGCTCTTGCGTTACAGTTTGCGAATCTGATGAGCTTTGCCCAGCGCAACGAGTGGATGACCTTTCTGGTTGATGCGCTTCATCGTGAAGCCCCGCCGGGTTACCATAGGCCTACATTGGCACAACTGATTCAATGTGATAGAGCAGCTTGGACAAGACTCGCCAGCACCATGAGTTCAGTGAGGCAGAGGGCTGACGGGACATTTCCCCTTGGGGAAGAGTTGTTGAAGCTGCTTTCAGACCCCAACATTACGCTGTATTTGGCACCAATTACAAAACCAGCAGTTTCGCAGCAAGAGTCCAGTTCGTGGCGATGGCAGCCATACAACACCCACAAGGGCGGCGACAAGGGCCATGACAAGGGTAAAGGCAAGAGCAAAGGCAAAGGTCGTGGCGTGGCCCCTGCCATGCCCCAGGAGCTCCGGGGGAAATGGTTCAAAACCTCTACAGGCGAGCCCTTATGCTTCGGCTACAACACGGCTGCAGGTTGTGCGCATTCAAACACAGGCACTTGTGCTGTGAGCCCAAGTGTCAAGGCAGTCATCCACTGTCAAAGCATGGCAAGTGACCGAAGCACGGTCGTCAAGCAGAGTGCAAGTTTCAAGGAATTCATGTTGAGCAGCTTTTTATGATAGAGGTCTTCGCTGGCTTCGGAATCTTGTGTGCCACTGCTAAGCACTGTGGCCTTGTCGGGAGCCTAGCAGTTGACAAGATTCGCAAAACAGGAGCGTACAGTACAATTGTACAACTTGATTTGCGAAACCTAGAGCACAGAGCATTGCTTGAAGAGTGGATGCAATCTGATTTATTTTGCTGGCTACACCTTGCACCAGCCTGCGGGACCGCAAGTCGTGCAAGAAACATTCAGCGCCATTGGAGCGACCCAAAACCTCTTCGGTCGGATGACTGTCCTCACGGGCTTCCAAACCTGTCTGAACAGGATACAACCAGAGTTTTGATTGCGAATGACCTTTTCTCCTACAGTTGCAAATTGTTTCAAACAGCTTCAGCCAAAGGAGTATCGGTCACAATGGAGAACCCTACGAACTCATATTTTTGGCTCACTGACTGGTTTCTCCGCCTTAGGCGAACAACAGAGCTGGTCATTGCTGATTTTCAGGTTTGCATGTACGGGGGCTCAAGGCCCAAGTGGACGCGGTTGGTTGGCAACTTCAAAGAATTGCTGCAACTGATTGCACGGTGTGACAATTCGCATGAGCCTTGGCGATTCGCCATCGACCAAGAAGGGAAGCGTGTTTGGGCAACTAGCTTGGAATCCAAGTACCCAAAACAGGTGTGCTTTGCAATTTTGCAGTGTGTTTTACAAGCTTTGCATCGGCACGGAGCAATTTTGCCTCCTACTCACTTGCAGGAACTTCAAACTCATCCTCTCCACTTGGCACAGACTGCACAAATTTCTGCAGGTCGTCAACCCAGAGGATCCAAACTGCCGCAAGTGGTTCCCGACTTTGCGACAACTGGTGTTTTTGCTCTTCCATCCATTTCTGAGATTCCGTGCAACTTGATGAGCAAATTGGCCCATCCTGTTGAAGCCCACACCCTGGATGGCCAAGGTGTGACCATCCCCAAAGGTGCACGTTTTCTTCGTTCATATCCACTCTTGCCCCAACCTTCAAAGGGGGAGGTCATGGTGCAAGAGAGCGGGTCTGGATCCCAGAAAAGAATTCGTGGTGAAGAGAGCTTTGGAGTGGTCTTTGGACTGCCATGGACTTGTGAATCATTCATCGGAAAAGCTTGCGAAGTGGGGCATCCAATGCTGGGTGAGTTCAACCTTTCAGAAGATGTGGCAATTGCAGTAAACAAACAACTTGAGTTTAACAACAACTGGCCAACTATAGGATGGCATGGTGCAGGAAGTGGCTGGCACGCGCTTCAGAGTTGTCTGTACTGGAGACCGAAGATCTAGCCAGAAGGCCGCTGCGTGTCCAGCAGAACACATCGGGCAAGAGGTTATTCTTAACTGAAGAGATACTTCGGGACATTGGGTACAGCGACCTGGGTGTGGTTGACATCTTGCGCGAGGGCTCTACTTTGGTGGGTGAAGTTGAAGCCTGCCCAGTCTTCAAAGAACAATACAAGCCCTGCATGGCTACGCTGGCCCAACTCAAGGCTGGAGCAGTTCGGAGGAATCAGGCCATATTGAAGATGTCTGCGTCGTGTGGAGACTTAGAGCTGGATCGCGCTCTCCTGGAGGAGACAAGAACTGAACTGGCAAAAGGCTGGGCTGAGGGGCCTTTCGAGGTCGGTGACCTTGAAAAGGATGCAGTCATTTCCCGACGATTCCCACTGAGGCAAGGCGCAAAGATCAGACTGATTGACGACTATTCCATCAGTGGGATCAATGAATGTACCACAACACACAACAAGATCGATTTGCACATGGTGGACACTTTTGCTGCGCTCATGAAAGAGTTTTTAGTAGGTGTGCGACTGTTGGAGTGAGCTCGGAGCACTTGAAGTTTGCATACTTTAGCATCTACAACCATGAGCTGGACAAGGCTGAAATATATAGGATGAAAACTCTTCCGTTTGGTGCTACTCACAGTGTGTACAACTTTTTGCGCATTGCCAGAGCCCTCCATAGCATTGCTGCTCGCGCCCTTTTTCTTTTGAACGCGAACTTCTATGACGACTTCATTTTGGCTTCAAGGAGTGCGAATCAGACTTCTGCTAGACATGGTATGGAGATGGTTTTTCTTTTGACAGGTTGGGAGTTTGCAAGGGATGGAAAGAAGGCAACTGATTTCGACGTGACCTGCAAAGCCTTAGGTGTTGAGTTTGATTTGAGCAAATCGAAAGATCGAGTGCTATCCATAGGCAACACTGAACAAAGGAAGGCGGAGCTTGTGGAACACGTCGACAAAGTGCTTCATGAAAATCGTATGAACCGACATGAATCCCTCGTACTGCGAGGGCGCCTGGGTTTCGCTGACAGCCAAGTCCACGGTAGACTTGGCAAGCTGGTCCTCAATAGGATTGTTGAACATGCCTATGGAACGCAGTCTGAGTTGAGCACATCCTTGGTTGAAGCTTTGGCCTGGTTGAAGACAAGACTGCAGACCTGCAAACCCAAAGCAATTGACTGTGAACCGATGCGACAATGTTTCCTCTTCACGGACGCGGCCTATGAGCCCATAGACCGCACCGGGGGGCTGGGCGCCGTTCTGGTAGGTGAGGACGGAGAATGCCTCGCTTGGTTTTCACTCCCACTGGATTCTAATCTCTGCGATGCTTTTGGAGCTTTGCAAAAAGACACTATCATCTATGAGTTAGAGCTTCTTGCTGCAGTTTTCTCGTTCCGTTTCTGGAATGACATTGTTTTTCGACGGCTCACGGTGCATTTTGGAGACAACGATGCTGTAAGATTTGCTTTAATCAAGGGAACTGCGCAAGGCCAAGCCGCTCTCGCTCTGATGCACCTTCAGTTGAGGCTTGAGTCTGAACAGCCGTCGCAATTTTGGTTTGCGAGGGTTCCAACTGAATGCAATGTTAGCGACTTTCCCTCACGCTTTGCCGAACACCCTTTCCTTCAAGCAGAGATGTGTGTATCTCATGATGCAAGTGGAGGCTTCTTCGAATTTGTACATGAGTGGCGTGCGACTCTGGGGTCAGCCTCAATTTAATGGGGCAAGCAGTGGTCAGACCCCAGAGTCCGCGTGAAAATAGTTGAG